GTGTACTGGGAGGAGGGGGCTTCCGTGCCCAAGAGCCTGCCAGTGCCACAGGCCATGGGTCCTTTTTGTTGGGTGGGGCTCGGCTCAAAAATGCATGGCTGTGGTTGTCAAAAACCATGAGATCACATTTTGGGATAGGTGAATTCACCACCCATTCTAGTCTATTTGGGTGTTTTTCCCCAGTCCCAACAGCTGAAGGCCATGGGGTGATAGGCACGGTTTGGGGCTCTGGGATGGTTTGGGGCTGCTTTCAAGGTGTTTGGTTTTAAAAGGAAGGCAAAAGGAAAGCCGGTTTCAAAGGGTCGGTTTCCTCTCTGTTGTTGAACCAAGCGCCCTCTTGGAACTAATCGCGACCACCACACTCCAGGCAAGTTGTTGACACTCGTCAGTATATCAGTCCCTCAAGTGGCTTTGATGAAGGGTAAGCCCACTTGTGTGACTAATCTCAGCTTACCACCTGCTAACTGGGCGGTCATTCAAGCGTGGCGTTTCTTGACACCTTGGTACTGCCCACGGCAGAACCTGTCCCTTGGGAATACAAAACGGAATCCACCCATTTCGGGTGTCCCAAAACCAGCTCCAGTTGACTCTCTTTATTGTTTATCGCTTTCAAAAGATCTCATGGGAAAACCATTGTAGTGAGCATGAGATGATCAGGTTGGCCTCAAACGCTACCAAACTTTGGCCAAATCAGTGGTTTCACGACCCTCTCCCGACCTGCCAAAAAGGGAAGTGCCGTATCTCAACCCACAAAAGGAATGCTACGGCAGGTGCGGTGCTTGCGAATTCTGGCGCGGCAGTCGCAGAAGGAGTGGCTGATCCTTTGGCAGCTGCAGATCCGATCGGCGTAAAAGGACGCCGCGGAGCCGTTGTTTTCCATGCGGGGAGTGGGGAGGGCACCAGAAAAGGGCGTGCCTAGATAGCCAAGTTGCTGTTTTTTTCCGTCACTGTTGCTGGCTTTTGGGGGAAAGTTCATGGAGAAAAGCAGTAACTGCGATCCACGTGAAGGTTTTTGTTTGGGGTTGGCAAAATCCAGCTGAAGATTACTTTGAAAGGTTCCCTGAACACCCGGGTTTTGGAGGCCTCCCTTTGAGCCCAGGTGCGGTTCGCCTCTTCAGATGGCCCCTATAGAGAAATCGGTCGGGCTTCCTTTGGTTTCCCCGTGCCCAGAACGGAAGCCTTTCGTCACCCGGGGGAACAAGGGTTGCGAAGGGCTGCGGTGGTTTGCCCAAGTTTCATCCTTTAGCCGTTGTTTTGCTGGTTGAACTCTAGGGGATAGAGACTTTTCATAGTTTGTCCATAGGCGTCCTTAGGTGAGTTGGCTTAGAAACAAACAAAACATCTACTGGTTTAGACAAGCTTTATTTCATGTCGGGCCATCGATCTTGTCCAGAAGGCCGCCTATGGTCCAATGCCCCCTATTCAGCACCCACGGATTTCGGAGCATCCCTGCGGCTCAGGCCACGACGCGGATCCTTCAGCCGCACACTCGGCGAGAGGCTCTTGTGCCAAGTCCGCAGGCCCAACCAGGGACTTTCACCGAGCGTGCCTGACATGGAAGTGAAATCCATCGAAAACGAAAGGTGCCTGAGGCCTACTGTTGGCAAAATACAGTCAACCCCAGTTGATTCATGGGCTGTTCTCGCCAAGGGGTCTGATTCCCCACTAAACCCAGGGACACCCTATTCATAAACTGGGGGTGCTGCATATGGGGTCAGCATTACACATGTTCAACGTGTGCCGGTCTCTTGTTCGCCCGGCCAAGGCCTCCAGAGCACCAGCCAGAAGAAGAGCCCGACGACCTTTTCGCACGCACAGGCCCGGGTGTATCTGATATCGTCAACATGAGTTGGCTCGGAAAAGACGGGCATCTGCGATTGTTTGGCAAGCTGGGCTTCGGTGTATGGGTTATTTCAAGCTCAGGCCTACGAATTCCTGGTCTCCCCTTAGCTCATCCCCTCAGCTTTTTCCGGGGCATTTCCTTGTTTCTCATATTGTCTTGGTTTTGCGGTCCCTTCAAACCTCAAGTGCCAAAAACTGGAGAAACGCGTTTCGCTCAGTAGAAAGGCTGAGTGAAACACCCCTTGGTCAATGGCTTCTGTTGCCATGCTCCCTTCATGCTCGGGGGTTTCCGGGGGTCGGCGTTCAGGTTCCGTCGCAAACGCGTGGCTTGAAGTTCCAAGCGCGGCGTTGCCAGGCTTCCGAACTGGCGAAGAGGTCCGGGGGGGTCGGGGGAGGCATGGGGAGGCTTGGCTTCGGTTGGCGTTTGCAGCTCAACAAGGAACTGATCCGGGCGGTCGTATTTTCAGGGAGCCCTGTTTGACTTTGAAGGAGAACCAGAAGGAACGCCACAAGTTTTGGGGCGCCCTTTGAGACACCCTGGATGCGGTTGGAAGTTGGTACCTTTGACTCACCGCGGCGCACGGGAGGGAGCGGCCTCTGCAGAAGTGACCTGCATGGGGTGCCAAGCGGCTTGCTTACCACTCTGCTTGGGGTCTACGCTGGTATACTTGCGTTCGCAAAGATGGTTCTAGAGGCCAGCCAGGAGGTGCCCCGGCAAATAACAAAGAAGATGCTCCTGGGGCTTGGCTGGATGGGCGCGAAAGGTGCGCCCAATTCCGGCAGGACCACCCACGTCTTTCGTGTTTCCTGAGGATGTTGAAACAGTCCCTCAGTCGAATGCCAAGCCACGGCTCAGACATGTTCCCAAGCCTTCCGCTAGGCTTGGGCGATGCAAGACGCCGCAGCGCGCTCGGGAAAAAAGCCCCCGGGCCCCAAGAACGAGCCTGGCAGGTGGCGGAACAGTTGTCCATATCAACTGGTAGCTACAAACTGCTCATGTAGGAGGTATATGTTTTCTGCGCTATATGTATAATATACATCATACATACGCGCATATAAATAAATAAATATATATATATATACATATATATATCTATATGTGAATATCTATTTTTAACGGGGGGGGGGGGGCGGGGGCAGAAAGAAGTCGCCCACACAAAGATCTGGGCCCCACGGTTTTCGCCGCCTTTTGGTTTGTATGGGGGGACGCCAGGGTCCCCGCATGTCCCCGCCAAAAAAAAAAAGAAGAATGGCGGCCGCGATTTCAGGAAGACTTGGCGGAGCTTGCCGGCCTAGCAGAGTTGGCGGATGTGGTGGAGAGGCCGAAGAGACAAGGCAGGACCCCCATAATTCTCTGCAGTGGGGGTGGCACATGTTGAAAGCCGCTATGCAAGGCAAATTGGGTGCTAAAGAGCTTATATGATTTCGACAAGGAAACCGACAGGGTACGAGTAGGTGTTCAATTTTCCCAGAGACTCCATTTGACACCCAGGTAAGCTGACCAATGCTGAATTGCCGGGCCATGCATTGTGTTGCGTTGCATCTAGAAACTGAAGCGCAACCCCCTGCGCGCAAGATTTCGTTCTAGTTTCTCAGGTGTGGTTGAGGAAGATCGGGGGAGGGGTTAGGAAAGGACAAAGTAGCATGGAAAATTATTTCTGGGACATGACAGGGATCCCTATATGTCCTTTGTTCTCGTGGTTTTAGCATCACCCGATGTTGATCAAGAGTCGAATCAAGAGACCCCTTTGGAGTGACAATTGCTAGGGACACACAATTACCATTGGAGAAAAACACGTTCTGCCACCACCTCCTTCATGAGAACCTTCCCGTCAAGTCATGATGTTTGAGGGTTCCATGTTAGTCAGCTGGACCGTTTGAGTCAACCCCTGCACGTTAATCTGCAGGGCAATTAATGGCTAGGCCCCCCAGTAGTGCCCGTTTTTCCATTCTTTGGGGAGGGTTCCCCTACTAAAATAGACTCTAGCCTCGCTACTGGAGGACCTAGATGATTGAACATACACCAAGTGGTTGCCTCGCAGCTGGAGCGCTCCAAGCGTTTGTTCCAGAGGTGACCGCGGATGGCTGCACAGCTTCTCTTGCTGAGACGATGCATGTGCTGCAAAAGGGCCGAGGGCGATCGCCTGGGCTTTGGTTTTTTGGCAGTGCCGTTCGTTGGCACAAAGATGTGCGTGAATCCACTCGAATGGGGTCGACGGCATGTGTATGGCTCTCGGTATATATCTATATGTGTGTGTGTGTGGCTAGTGAGGTGCACGATCACTTAGTTGAACAGACGTACCACTTCACTGCCGTGGCGAGAAAGCCCCAGTCAACAGTTGAACTCCTGGATTCCCTTACCCCACCATGGAAGCTGACGGCGGGTATTGGAAAATTACTTTGGGAAACCGCTTGTCCAATTCCATGATTGGAAAAGGGTACATCCCAGGGTCCAATTCCCTCATACTTGCGGATTTCAGGAATCTGTACTTGATAAATCTCCTTGAACCAAACCCAAACCGTAGAGTATGTGGTATTTGGACCCTTTCGGACAAAAACCCATTTCGCACCAGGTGGCAAGTGGCTTATCCCCGTAATCAAATCGGGTTTCAGGAGTGGATGTAGATTTAATCATCCAACCCAGGAGCCCATTCAACGGGTTCTACTAAACAAGTTCCAACTGCTTGCACCAAATCAAGTTGTTTTTCGCCTCCGAGTTCGCACCCCATTTGTGATGCCCATTTGGCTACCCCTTGTAGCACCCCAAGTACCACCAGTATATCCAGTGCCAAAGTGGGGTTATCCAGTTCCCTACAGGCCAAGTGACACCTCATGACCACACCTGATGGAAACGAAACAGGTCGAAGACCAGGTCTAAAACCTTGGTTCCAAGTGCATCTGACGTCGGCATTCGCAGAGTGCACCTGCGAATCGCTTCGTTCGGAGCCTTTCGCTCAGGCACATGAAACCTGTGTTCACCTGTCTTTTGTCGTTTGCAATGCTTCACTGCTTGAAAGGCGGAGCCTGATCATGTGCTCAATGTGGTTTCATGCTTCACTTGTTTTTATGTGCCTGATTAGTTTTCATGGTCCATGAGTCATCTGCTTACGTCATGCGCTTTGTGGTTCTCGTGTGTTTCCCTTTGAGCCATTCGTTGCTATGGCGTCCATCAGCCAGCTGTCGCTGGCTGGCCTCATCGCGCGCTTGAAGGAGGCGTCGGAGAGTCGGAGCAGACCCAAGAGCCCAGATTCGACGGGGTCTTGTGCTGGGTGCTGACAAGCCTATGCTTCCATGTGCGTTTCAGATTGTTGTTTTTTTTCCCGGTTGGTTTTAAAGGGAATCGATTTCACTACTGGAAATATGTTTTTTTTTTTCCTTCCAGGGGTCTTAACCAAATGGAAGCATGGGTGTTTCCCTCCCCCCCCCCCGCATGTCACAAGAGAACGCAAAGATGCTACAAGGCTCCTGCTATGGGGAGGGGGGGTCTGTTTTGGATGGAAATCGTTTGAGGCGGTTCTACAGGGAAGCAAACGGAAATCCATCAATGTTAAAGATTCACTATTTTGAGACAGACCCACTATAGTTGATTTGCCCACGTAAGAACCCCAAGGAATCAGCCCCTGTGCCCGAGACTCTCAGTAAGGGTGGGGTGAGGGGGGCTCCATTCTTGCCATCAAAGTCATCCATGATCCAAGTTGTGGGCGACAGGAAAACAACACCCTTTTCTGACTTTGAGAATCATCAGATGAGACTCATCCACTATGCTTCCAACTCTGGTGGCCATGATGTGCTTGAACATCATGGCCCGTTTGGGTTGAGTTTCCCTTTGGCGGCTGATGCTAGATGCGAAATGCAGGGAGCCCTGGTCATACAGAGGCTCACCGATCTCGCGGGGTAAAAAACGAGGCACCGTGACGAAGGTCCGTTTTTGCATGGTGTGGTTTCAGCTTGAGATTTTGTTTGTCCCCCAAGTCGTGATCCGTTTTTGTTCGCATTTGGGCATTATAGCAAATGGTTGCTAGCGCAGATCTCTGTGTCAGGTAAAGCTTTTCAAGACCAGCTACCCTTCCACCCTTTTCACGTGGAACCTGGGGGGGTCCTTGGTTGGATCATTTTCTCTTAAAGAGACCGGGTCCCAAACGTCAGAGGAGGGTAAGTGGCAAACAGGCAGCTTGCGCCCACTGTTCAGACTTGTCACCTGAGGTGGACTACATCAAAGGCATCAAAAGCCCCGACGACGAGCAGGCACGACTCTGAATCTATCAGACACGGTTTGCCTTTTTTTCTGGGGAGCCCATTGTGGGTTGGTCTTTGGCGGGATTTCACCAGGACACCGTGCGCCTTCTCATGTTGAAAAATTCCCCAAGTATAAGGCAAGCAATTACACCAAACACATCCAACTAAGGAACACTGCAGGCTAGGTGCTACTTGCATTGTTGGGGGAGATCCACCGTTTGAACTGTAGAGCGTAGCTTGCTCTTGCACTGCTTTTAGTCCGAGGGAGTGATTTTCCCTCTTTCGTGGGCCAAAAACACACATTCACACCCGATGTCGCGATGGCTTCCAGAGAAGCCACGAACATCTACTCACAGAAGGGTCCATGCACTGAGCCTGCAAGCTTCTCCAAAGATGAACATGTGGAGAGCTCACGGGATGCACACCCATAGCAGGTGTGTTTTTTTGGCACATAGCTGAAAGCACTTCCCTGTGTTGGTTTCACCGTTTCACCCTTGTGCCTTTGGGTTCCCTGGTCAACCTCGGACTCGTCCTCTGCCACCATTCAGTGGCCGGCCAAGAACTGTTTTTGGGGGACTTGTGCTCCCCAGTTCCTCGCCTTCAAACCTGGGAAGACCATGGAAACAAAAGGTGGTGTTGCTTTTTCGGAAAAGAAAAAGACACTCGAGTGAGGGGATTTGAAGAAGACTCCGGAGGGAGCTGAGCTTGATTTGAGCCATTCCTTGCAGCTTCCTGAAGAAAGGGACTCCTAGCTCATTCCAAACCCTCAAGTGACTCCATACTGAGAGCCAGCAAGTTGCGCCTTTGACATATTTTGACTTGTTGGGCTGGAAAACTCGGTTTCAGCCATCAAGAGTGAAAGTGGCTAAGCCAAAGCCGTGGCCACGTTATCGCGAAAGAGTGCCTAGATCTTAGCATGGAATTGTGTGAAGCAAAGCTTAGAGTTTCGCCCAAAAAGCAAATGGTACCCTGCAAACTCTTCCTTTGGAGCCCCCGAAGGGGGATCCTCAAACCCTAAAGAAAGTAGCTGTGTAGGGTTCCAGGTCTGCGCAAAAGTAGCTGGTGAGCAGTTTTGCGACCCCACCAAGAAGCCTGCTACAGGAAAGTCTAAGACGAACCCTGGTGTTTGGATGTTTGGACTCTTTCCAGAATTTCCATTGGCTGCCGCACAGCCCAGAATGTGCTCAATGTATCGAAAGGACACCAACAGGGAATGAACAGTTCCATTTTTCTCCGGGAGCACCCATCCGCATGAAGTTCATTTGTTTCACCCCCGGATGTCAAAACTTGTTTTTGATCAAGTTTGTCGGGGACCTTCGGGCCTTTTTCAGACTAGTGTCAACTGCCCCCTTTCTGAGGGTTTGGGGGGGGGATCGATTTCACGACTGGAAATATTCGTCTCATAATTGTCCATTTGGCTAAAAAGCAAATGGGAGAAATCTCGTCCAGCTGGTGTCCAACTTCCGCAGGCAGCAGTGCTGGCCACTGAAGCAGAGGTGAAGAAGGCCCTCTTCGAAGAGCTTCAGGCGGAGATGTTTGCAGGAGAAAACAGCATCGCTTGGGACTTGTGACGTGTGTTTGTTGTGTGGCTTGCTTTGGATTGGTTGGTTGGCTGGCTGTTTGTTTGTTAAATTGGATTGCATTGGATTGGATTGGTTGGTTGATTGCTTGATTGGTTGGTTGGTTGATTGGCTGATTGCCTGGTTGGATAGACGGAAGGGTGGGTGTATCAGTCGACGGACCGATTGGGTCGATCGATCGATTGGTTGATTGATTGATTGGTTGATTGGTTGATAGATAGATTGAATGATTGTATTGACTCACTTAATTGAGTTGATTGGTTTGATTGATGTGTGATTGCTTGATTGCTTGATTGCTTGATTGCTTGATTGCTTGATTTGATTGATTGATTGATTGATTGATTGATTTGATTTGATTTGATTTGATTTGATTTGATTTGATTAATTGATTGGTTGATTGGTTGGTTAATTCCTTGGATGGCTGCTTAGTTGATTGCGTGGTCGTTTTATTGTTTCCTTCTCACTTGATGGGTTTATGTGAGTATATTGCTTGAGTTGACGTCGATTTCATTCAATGAATATACAGACTGATTTGCGTTGCTTGCATCGGACTGATTCATTTGTTGTGGGTTGGTTGGAATTCCCTTCTGATTCACCTCTGGTCCTATGATTCGGATCAATGGAGCTGGGGACCCGCCCCCGTGGAGGGCACCTCCTGGCAACCCCCAAAGGAACAGCCGATGTGTCTCACCTCTCCCAGGTGCCCTTGTGAAGGGCTTCCCAACATCTCCGGAAATCCGGGTTGAGATAGGCGGCCAGCTCTGGCCTAACTTCCTTCGAGAAGCGGGTGGCCAAGGAGCTTTGGCCTCGGTTGATCCACTGGCCCAAAGAAAAAGGCAGCCTGAAAGGACCTGACTCGTTCCCCCCCGAACGCGGGGGTTCCTACATTTTTGCTTGGGGATTTGGTAACAGATGAGAATCTGTTTTAAAGTGGCCCCAAACGGTTGAGCTTGTGCAAGTCTGGGTCCCTAGGTGTTGTGTTTCTGCATGGCTATGCGGCAACGGATCTTTGGACGTCTAGAGGCTTGGCTGAAATGATGGATTTTCCGTATTGGACCCACAAACGTTGAACACTTCTTGCAGAGGGCCCCTGAAAGGAAGCTAGGAAGGTTGTTCAAGTTTCAACTTCCTTTTGGGGAAGCGCCATCCGGGCATCCGTTCAAGTACTATGAGGGCTTCAACTATTAGAGTGATTTTATGGGCACTTTAAGGCCAAGTTCAAGTTATGATCATAAGAGACATTGAATGTAATTATTCAGCCCCTGACATTTTGTGGTTCAAGCGCATTAAAAGGTCTGGCCTTTGGAGGTGTGGATTGTGGGGCTTTGCCGCCAAACACCTGAGCTTGTCAGGCATGCACCCCTTTTGATTCCTCCGAAGCTGCCATGCGCTTGGGCTGCCTACATCTTGTCGGAGGTCATGTTTATCTGGGATGGTGAGAAATGCCACTCGTTTTTGGAGCGTCTCAAAATAGGGGTACCCCAAATGGGTGGGGTGTGTCCCTTTGGTTTCTCTTGAAACCAACCCCAAGACGGGTACCCCCAAAAACAACCTAGGGCACACAACCTCACCTCCAAACAGCTTGCGTGTTGGCTTGAATCGCCGAAACAATTTGACGTGTTCAACAGTTTTCCCCAGCCAGCAAACAGTTCTTTTCCATTTGCTGAAATGGTTACTTTGTATTTTCTTCTGTTGGTCTTAAAGGACTCTTGACACTAACGCAGACATATTCTTATTTTCCCAAGGGACTTAAGCAAATGACAATTATTCCTACAGCGAGAATACCAACCAGCTACGTAAAAAAAAAAAGAACTCTGCAAAGTGCAGCGACCGCTCAACTGTATGGGTGAAGTTTTGGTTTGTGTAGTCATGGCAACCCAAGTCATGACCATGTTTGCTGCGCAGCTTTTTCGGGCAAGTAAGCGACGGGCATGAAAACTCAATCGTGCGGCAACAAATGAAACTCAAGCTGGTTTCCTGAGAGGGTGGCTGGAGAGCCTAGGGAAAACTGGAGAGAAAGACTCTGCCCGAAAAGGAAGAAAGCTGAGCAATTTGGGGGGTGCTTTTTTTGGTAACCCCCCCTTCAAAGCAAAAAACAACAAGACAATGGTGGTGTTCCTTCTGGTTTCCCTTTGAAACCCCATAAGAGGGGTACCGAGCCTCAAAAACGACACATCATGGAAATCATGGTGGGCCCCAGCAGCCGATTGAGAGGATCAACGCTTCTGACCTCCCACTGAGGTTCCTGCAGAATCAGATCAAGTCCGTCGATGTCAGTGCCAAAGGCATCTCGAGTTATGCCGGGGTATGGGGTTATGGCCGTTCCAACCCGGCGCCAGTTCGCGTGTGAGACATGAACTGGGGCTGGGGACACGAACTGGTGCTGTTCTCAAGGACATGCCACGGAGTTCGGAGGCTAGATGTTCAAGTTGGAAAGCCAAGTTGGAAGTTGCAAGGAGACGCGAAAAGAAACAACAACAAAAAAAGGCAAAGTCCCAAAAAGGCCAAGAGGCTGAAACCCATGAGGCTCCTTCCCTTTGCGCGCAGGCGGGGAAGCCAAGCGCACCAAGCTCCAGGCGAGAAGTGGGAAAAACGCGGGCCGGAATCAAAGCCGACAGCTGTGGACGGACAAAATCCACTTCGAACCAGTCGGCAAAAAAATAAGCGGTTGTCCCGTTCTGAGAGTGATATCCATGAAGAGCGGCCAGCGGCCATGGGTTTTAGCTTAATATGGGGGGGGGGGTTCATCTGCTCAAGTGCGGCATGCGCCTCTGCAGAATCAGATGTTTTTTCCGGCCCTTTTTTCGGCCCAAACCAAAGTTTGCAGATGGTTGAAATGTACGCGCACGCGGGTTGAGACTAGTTGAAGTATAAAGGATTCGGTTGCGCAGGGGGCTGGCCCCGAGAATTTGGGTACGTTGAAAAGGAAGCCAAACGAGGGTGTAAACCTCCCACGGATCCTAGTTGTTACTAACACAAGTGAGGATCTTTACCGCTAGATGTCAAAATGAAATGTTCTCTGGTCAAACAGCGGTAGCTGGGTCCTTGCACATTCCAAGGTGGTCTCCCTGACCTCAGATCACTACTTCCAGGGGTTTAGCAGGATGTCCAACCACCTACGTCTGGGTTATGCGCCCCGCTTTTCCTGCAAAATAGCGGAAACACAAACATTTCAGAGGCATAAGAGTGGGTGCTTGCGTCTATGGGGTTCCCTGGCTCGGTTGAGTACAGTTGGAGATGGCATGATTCCCTCCATGTTGGTTTAGTCATGGCCTGTACTTGCCCGCAGCTACTGGGAATTCTGCCATCTACCAACTCACCCGAGCAAAACTGTATTTTGGCACTATCTCAGAAGAAAAGAGCGATCCAGCTACATGTTCCTCCATGTGTGCTGTGTCAGGGTTCCCTGCCAACGTCAACCCCGGTTTATAATCAACCTGATTTTGAGAGATGGGTGTGGCCCCTTGTGAGGATGTTTGGAGGGAGCACCTGAGAAGCAACTGGCAGGCAGGCTTGGATGGCAGGTTTCACATCTGTTCGCCTTTTCGAGTATGAGTATGGGCACCCCCCCCCCCCCAGAAAAAATAAAATAAAACAAAAAGTGGAAAGTGTTCTACGTTCGATCCGATGTTTCAACGGAAGGAGCTGCTCTCGAACGTGGAGACAGCGACCTCCAAGGATGACCCGCCCCACCTGCGCCGCGCCCGGCCCTTTAGAGCACGTCGCTGAGGGCCTTTGTTTGGGCAGGTCTCTTTTTGAACCGTTGGGTTTTGTTTTAGATGAACCCAGTTGGGATTTGCAACCATCTTCGAACAGTTGGGCTGTGTTGGGCTTTATTTTATGAATGGGGAGTCATCTTTGAACTGAATTGTATGCTGTGGATGGTTGCGAAATCCGTTCAGAAACCCTACGCAATAACACGAATGCCCAGAAGCCATCACAAACCATGCTTTCAACCATTGCTTCAAAGTGGTGCGAAAAGAACTTCGTCCATCCCTGTCTCAAACATAGGGGACCCTCAAAGTTGGGTTTTCCCGTCGTGTCCCTTTCCATCCAAAAAGGGCTCACAAAAAGAAAGGGCCATGGCGGCCATGTTTTAGTTGGTCGCAAGTGTCGGGGATTCAGGGTCTTGGGAGCCCAACAAGAGTCTTTGGCATCCTGTGAAGGGGACCCCCCCATGGTCCCCCAGACCAGCTCGTGTCGGGTTCCCATTTTGTGCTGAAAAGAAAAACCAGTGGAGAGCACAGTTTGGAAGCATGTGGAGGCATGTGGAGGCACTGTTGTCCAAGGAGCAGGCCAGTGGGTAGCGAATTTGTCCAACCCGTCTGCTTTGATTTCCGGTAGGTTCTGCCCATGTTCCGAATTTCAGTTGACACCCCACAGCCAGAAACCCTTCTTTTGTTGTTTATACCCGTTGAGTTTCTTGCTAAGTCGCCAAATTCTGGTTACATTTGGATCCCCATTTGGAGGGGTCCCGAATGACTCTTGCGTGCTTGTTTTATTTCTGTTGCCACCATTTCGCCATGGATGGTGATGTAAAACATGTCATTTTGGACCCAAGCCGCAGTCTCCAGTTTGAATTGGACCATGGTCATTCGACACCCAAGAGTTGTTGGTAGAGCTTCTCCATGGGCAGGGATGGTAATCAACAAATGTGACCCATCATGTGACACCTTTAAAGGAGGTTGATATAGTCATCTGGTAGAACAATAATTTTCAGGTTGACATGCTCGCCGGATGGGTTTCTGGGGTGTAGAAATCATGAGGCCAAGGCGGACTTGTCCAAGGCCGAGAAGGCATTCGAGGAGCCGATGTGGTTTCCTTGAACGGGGGCCATAACTGGGGATTGCTTGCAGGGCGTCATTCCCTGTTTGCGGGGAACACTGGCAAAAAGGAGTTCGGGGAACGCCCCCGCCCACCCCAATCCTTGCGATGCAAATGACCCAGGTTTTCCACTTTCATCAGCCTAGGTCCCCCCCAGTAGTGCCCTTTTACCTTCTTTTGGGGGAGGGTTCCCCTAGTAAAATAGGCAGCAAAAAGTTGGTACCCTGATTCTACCCTCTCTACTACCTGGGAGCCGGGGTCAAATTCACTTTTTAGAGCCTTTCAGAGTTCAACGGCATGGCTCACGCCGAACCGGTGCCGTTATCAGTCTGTGGTCCCTTTGGTGGAGAGACAGGCTAAATCTCCAAAACATGGGGACTCGCAAAGCCTCTTGGGGCAAGTAATTTGGGTGTGTCTTCTTTGGAATACCACCCCCCCAAATAAGAAAAAAACAAAAAAGGAAGTAAGAAGCAAGAAATGCAAAGAAGTTGCGATGTTCGTTTTGGCTTCCATGTAATAGCCATAAAAGGTACAAAAAGACACCCCGCCCCATTTGGACACCGGAGTTTTGACGGCGGCTCGCCTCAGGAGATCAGCAAGAACTACGAGCGCCGCGATCCCAGCCAGAATTGTCACGAGCCAAAGGCCCAGCTCCCGCACTCCAACCCCAGCTCCACCCACTCCAACCCCACCCCAACCCCCAACTCCCAACTCCCCCAACTCCAACTCCACTCGTAGTGGATGGAGCCCAAGCCACACAGCAGGTGGGATTGGTGGCTTCTCTCGGCTTCATGTGTCCCAAGTGTTAGGTTTTGGGGCAGGCGAAATACGAAGCCGAATCTGCCAGCATGCTTTTCTGCCTGGCCAAGTTCGGAGGTCTTTCGTGGGTCGAGCCAAGGCCGACGCACTGTTGGACTTTTTGTTTGGGAAGACCATGTGGGTGGAAAACAGAACCTTCAGATGCTTGATTTGTCAAAGCACTCAGGAAGACTTGGTCCCAAAGAGCACTCTTTTTGAAGCAGCCTAAAAAGTGCTGCGTTTTATCGCTGACTTGAATAAAGCCACTTCGAGGTATACGACTGGACATGAAACAGAGACTGGGCGTTCTATATTAGGTGTAGGCACGAGTTGTTCCAAGTGCGCCCTTTTTGAGCCAACAATCACGGGCTTCACGTGGCCCTAGGTACCGGCCGTATGGGATTGGTCCATCGGAAGTGCGTGGCCTTCTTTGACCATTATAAGGGGCAGCGTTCCGTCAGTTCAAAACCAAGCGCGGTTTGAATGGACACAACAAGCCACTAAAAGCGGGCACTCCTCTATGAAGCAGCGGTTTAACTTCATTCGGGGTCGACGTTGACTGAGGATGGGAGAAGGGCAAGAAGATGCTGCGGCCCCAGCAACTTGCTCGTTGCCCCACCCGCCATTTTCAACAGGGGCAAAAGTGGGGAACCCGCTATACAACTACGTAAAGGGTATGCGATGCGAAACCTTTGTAGATGTTTGCGTTATTTTAAGTCGATTTGTTTTTTGTTCACGCAGACCAGGTGGGAAGCCGAAGCGGGTGACCCGTTGCCCCTGGCGCTTTGGCTCAACTCTTGGCGATGGATGGCTCGGGGTGTGGGAAGCCCCGGCACAGCTCTGAAATGCAGATGTCTGGGCTTCAATCACGGAAGCTTCAGTGTGAAGCGAGAAGTTTGGGAGCTTGCCTTCTTTCACAGACGAGACTGTCAAAACTAATATTAACTTCTAAATGCCCCCCCCCCCCCAGCCCCAGCCCCCAGTCCTGCTCCCTCCCCACCAGAAGTCTCATTTGAAGGGACACAATCCAAAAGTAGTCTTAAGAAGCCGTCGCCATGGGAAATCAAATGGGATTTCCTCATTTCATTCGTGCGGTTCTCCTCTTAGGTGTGTGCGTGTGAGAAAGCCCGGGCGTTCTCCATCTTTGTTTCCATCCCACCCATAGGAGTGTTACAGGCCGCGTTTCCATGGCTGCTCTTTTGCTTGTGGCTCTAAGGGAAGCAAGCCAAAACCGATCGTTTGCCATTTCTGGCCCCAGTCCTTGAGCTTCGCATCGGATCGTCAGGTTGTCGGTGGATGAGATCAAAGTCCTGAAGCGATCCTACGAAGAAGGCCGACGGCTTTCGGTGGGAAATCCGCCCTTGATTTTGATCGAGTGTCCCATTTTGGTGAGGGTCAATCAAATTTGGGAGGGAGAACGGCTTATCAGGCCTTAAAGGAAACCCACAAAACGGTTTTTTTACTTGCCGATTTACAAAATGTCCTTGCATGTCCTTGCAAAAACCGTTTATTTGTTGGACACATCCTTAAGTTGTGACAAGAGGGGCACCCTCACCCGATTGGGTACCAGTTCTTCTTTGTTGACTGCTTTTTTACTCGACTCTTGTTGGGAAGCCACGATATGTTGATATTGATTGAAAGATGCTACGCTTTTAGAGGGTCCCGCAAGGTCTTTGCGCGCAGGGTCCTGCAGCCGAGAGTTCCCTCCGGCAAATCCCCAAACTGGCCGAAGGTGAAGAGGCCCTATCGTTTTTTGTTTTTTTTTTCCCCGACCATTTGGGCCCAACCAAAAGGTAAGGTGGAGGTCAAACACAAGAGGTGCAAAGCAAAATCAACGGGAGTCGGCGGAGCTGACACCATTGTTGCTTTAGCCAAGGAGTTTCGACAGTGGCAAGCCAACAGTTTGGACTTTGGCCGATCTTCTCAAGGGAGTCATCCTCGAAGCAACAATTACATAAAGTTATCCCTTTTACCCTCCCATCAAGTAACATGGAGCCTGACAAGGTGGCCCCAATAGAAGGACAATGGTCTTCCAGGATCCTTCTGTCAGGTTCCACGGCAATCGGTGAGATTATTGCCTTTGCGAAAGGAAAGCGACCCTCCAAAGATACAGTTTGAGAACCCTTCCATTTGTTCGGAAGTCATGGAAGTTGAGATGGCTGCTAATTTGTTATTGCCTCTCTCTTGACCAACGTTCCCAAGGGCAAGCCAAAAGAAAAGAATATGTTTTATCTTCCCCTGTTTTTGTTTAAGGGGAATCTATCACTACTGGAAATATTATTAATTGTTTTTTGTGGGGACTTGTGCAAATGACAGTTTTTCAGTCGAGAACGGATGCGAGGGGATCGCACGATAGGCAAGCAGAAGATGGAAAAGGCCAAGGAGCTGTTGCAGGAGCAACAACTTCGACGAGCAGAGGCTGCAGTCGCACCCCTGCAGGAGGAGAAAGAGAGGCCGGGGTCCTGCATAGGGGTCCCTTTTTAGGTTAGTTTCATCACCTAAATGGGGCTCCTTGCCATTATTTCGCTGGGGTTGAACTCTGGGGATTTGGGTAGGAATGGATGTGTTACACTGGGTTGGATTGGTGTTATGGTCCATTTGTCAGGGCCATCCATTTCCAAAGGTGGCTGGAAATGGGATTTGCCGGGCCACCTGAAATGGGGGACGTGTTGGTCGTCTTGCTATTGCCGAGCTAGGGAACAACCTTTCCGGCTGGGAAGGAACCGTTTGGGAATGAAACCAAGTCGGTTTTTCTAGGACTCATTCCGTGTCTCACTCCCTAGAGTCTTTTCATGGCCAAAATTGCTTTTATATCAAATACCCAAACCCTACAAGATATTAAGACTGGGTTAATTCTAGGATCGTTGATCTCTATTGTATCTAGGAACCGGGTTTCTTTGTTGTTCCCGTTTTTCTCTCCTTTTTTTTTCCGGACTTATTCCCTTTCTCACTTCCCTAGCGAACCAGCAAGTCCCTTGGGCCGCCGGGTTTCTCCCAGATCCCCGCAGGGGCGCCGCGGCGGTGGCCATGGAAGCGAAGCTGGCGAGAGCTGCCAAGGCGAAGGCGCCGCCTCCGAGCTCCTCGAAATGGCCCCGTGAATGGGGAAAAGGCGTGGAATCAGTGCCCCGAAAATGGGTACCCAGGGTCTGGCTCTTTTTGTTTTGCCCGGAAAAGAGATGAGGAGCCCAATCTTATGAAGCTTTAGTAGGTAGTCAAACAACTGGCAAGGGCCCAATTTAGATGATGACTTCGGAGGGAAATGGTGGTTATATTGACCCAACCGGTGTTTGAACCCCAGAAGTTCGCTTCCTGGCCATCGAGAGGCTGCCATCCAGCAGGGCAGTGGGTTTTTGTGCGGCCAGAAGGCAACCACCTTTTTTTGTTTTCTTTGGGGGGGCTGCTTTGAGACAGCTAGGGATAGGCTTCTTTCACCAGTCATGGAAATGACCCGGTGAGTTTCCTCGCTCTCTGCGCCGTTAAAGTCCCACCAAGGGGACTTTGCAGTGAGGGTGAAGTCGGTTTTCCAGGAACGACCATGCCTTCTATTCTGTTGCTGTGGATGCGTCTCAAAGTGGGACACTGAAACAAAATGGCCGAAGTTGTGTTTTTAACCTCATCAGCTTCCATGCCAGGTTCTTCAAACCACCGGCGCCCCATTACTTTGCTAAACTCGCAGGAGGTCGGGTGACCAAAACCGAAAAGGGGATTCCTTGCTGTCTCCGCCGCCGAACCCTGCCCAGTGACATACTTCTCTCACTTTGTCTCTCTCGTTTTGCCCCTTCCTCTTCCTTTTACTCTTTCTGTGTCTCTATCTCAGTTTTCTCATTCTGCTTCTCCTTATCTATTTCTTTTTCTTGCTGTTCTGTCTGTTCTTTTTTAGGTATTTTTTATCTTTGTCTCTCTCTCTCTCTCTTGTCTTCTCTCCCCATCCAACCCACGGAAGTCCCTAACTAATATTGTTTTGCTTGCACAAAACCCGCTTAGTGGACGCATTGACCAGGGATACTCTTTCCTGCGCCACCCAAGCCACAACTGACCCAGGATTGCCGAGCCCGCTAAGTGAGGCGGTCATCTGTAGGGAGCTTCCTTTCACGCGGATCTCCTTTTGCCCGGATCTTCGCAGGCAAGCCGAGCTCCACCAGCAACAAGCAAGGCACAAGGCGATGGATGTTTTCTGCCAAAGCCCGAAGTGGAAATGTGTGGGTTTTTCTGACATGCCCAAATAACATGTTGTGTGTGTTTCGTCGGGGCAGCCACACAAGGAAACACCGTACCACGTTGCCTGAGGATGAAGAATTGATATACTTAACCCGAACATAGAAGCCACCTGGTCACATGTCTTTTGAGGGTGTCATTTGGGTCACAAAGGGAACTCCACTAAACCGATCCATTTCGAGGTGGATGCGCACACCCCTCCTGGGGGCGCTCTCCAAACCGACCTGTGATTTCCCATGTCCTTTGGGCAGGCCGTTCTGCTTTCCGTTTGAAACGGCCCGCAGACCAGGCCACTCAACGTGCCATCATTCCAGAAAACACCCGCAAGTTCGTGGCCATTGCATGTGTGTGGGGACATGTGTTTAGCTCATGTTCAACTGCCCAGACACGTGGCCCAGCGCGAGGTTTGTGGGACCCGGGCGTGCGACCCTGGCAGGCTATCCAGCGCCCAAGCAAATGGCTGGCCTGCGACAAGCGCAACTTGCAGCGCAGGCGCAAACTTGTTCAGTGTGGGGCGTTTGAGGTTGAGAATGTAAACAGCTTACCTGCGGGCTTCACTTTCAAGAACCCTCCAACATTCCTTTTGAGCAAACCCCAAGCTTCCCATGTTGAAGGTTCCTTTCACCAGGTGTCCGCGGCATGCTCAAAAGGCATGTTAAAGGATTCTTGGCGTATGGCGAGCTCTGTGAGTATCCTACCGTGTGATTTTCTTTGTGCGTGAGTTGTAGGAGTTTGCTGCAGGACAATACTCCGAGGAAGCCCCCCAATTAGTATGGCCGACAAGACATGAACATGAACAGATTCTGTGCATGTGTTTGAATGGAGGCCGAAGTGTGCTTCGGCCAGGTTCGGGCTGAGGCGATGGAGGCGCGGCAGCGCGGGTCGTTGCCATAGCTCAGGTTTCGGGAAGGGGCCTGGGTCTGGATTTCCAGCACCGCGGAACTTCGACAAAGTGTTTTGCGAGTCAGGCAAAGACTACGCGTGATTTCAGGAATTGATTCGGAACTTCTGACGGTTCTGCGGAAGCGTGTTCATACTAGTTGAGTTTGCGCCACATCGAGGAACCCTTTCGAAGATCACTTTTGCAGCACCCTCCCAAGACCCCTTTTCTTCTCGACAAGGTCTGTGGTATGGCTGTGCAGCAGTCCACCCCTTCCATTTCTGTTTCAATGGCAGGCGTGAGAAATTTGAGCTTTCGGGGACTTGCGGTGTTGGGATTCTGCTGCTCGTGGCAGCATGTGAAACAAGAAGCTCCAACTTTCGAGGGGTGAAGAAAGAAAGCCGACGGAACTAAAAACGCGATATTTTTGGGGGTGTATTCCGTGTTCTCCCCACCCCTCGCCAGGAACGGGCCCCGGCGCCGGCACCGGCGCCGGCGCCGGTAAGACGGGCGCCGCCACGGGAGTCTCCCGTGGAGGCACCGGTGTTGTCCTACGCCCGGGCCCTTGTTGTTGGGAAACATTTTGCAGTTTTTCTTATTGTGGTTTGGTGGGACATCCGCACTTCTCTGCTACAATTCAATTGTTTACTCCCTTTCCAACGTCAAGCAAGGTAGGTGCGTGGAGTCGCTCTGGAAAAGGAAGGACCACCTAAGCTCCAAGGCTTTCCAAACGAGAGTGGAATCTGTTTCGATTCATTCTTTACAGAGCCTTTTCAGAATGACAGAGGTATCTGATCTGCTTTGATGTTCCGTTTACATAAGGCTCGAGAAATATGGCGGCCAGAATCAACACAGGTCGCGTCCAAACAACTAACAATTGCAGGAACTCGGTTGAATTATGTCTGTCTTTATTTCTGTTTTTCTTTCCTTTCCTTCCTTCCTTCCTTTCTTCGTTTCTTTCTTTCTTTTTTTCTTTCTTTCATTCTCTTTGCCTCCTTGCCTCCTTGCCTCCTTGCCTCCTTGCCTCCTTCCCTCCTTCCCTCCTTCCCTCCTTCCCTCCTTCCCTCCTTCCCTCCTTTCCTCCTTCCCTCCTTCCCTCCTTCCCTCCTTCCCTCCTTCCCTCCTTCCCTCCTTCCCTCCTTCCCTCCTTCCCTCCTTCCCTCCTTCCCTCCTTCCCTCCTTCCCCTTCAGGGTTGGGCCCCCCCTCGTTCTACCCTGCGGGTTCCGTGATTGATTGGAGTTGAGTGAGAGCAACCCTGATTCCTGAAAAGGAATCTAGCTCGAACCACAGCTTCGGAGCTTCCCTGGTTCTTACAGCTACATAGTCTTTGACATCTTAGTGCTTCCCGCAGATCTGGGACACCTGGATTCGTTGAACTTGAACGACCCCCTGTTGTTTGCTTAAGAGTCGCCCAGGTTGACAGTCCTTTCGGCGGCATGGGAAGTCAGAAGAGCTCAGGCCTGCACGTGCACGGCTGTGGCAGAGCACCTCGGGGTGTCGGAGGCCGGCCGGGTGGCCGGGCGAAACGTGAGCAAGAAATGCCTCCGGTTCAGTTCGAAGATCTAACTTTCTACCCTGGGACTTGAGTCACTTTTTTCAGCAAGGCCACAGATGGGAAAACAAAACAGTCGGACCCTTTCTTGCCAATCCAGTCATTCAGGGGAACTGACGCACAGTCCTGTTTAAGCATTCCACATTTGCACGTTGTTCCGACTCGAGATCAACTCCAAAAAGTCAGTTTCGTGGTCATTCTTGGACCTACACCCCCCCCCGCCCTTCATCTACCTCGCAGGCGAAGGCGCGTGACCTGGCCATGTCCAGCGCAGAGTTCGCAGTGCACTTCGACCCGGAGACCTGGCAGGCCATCCAGGAGCCCCGGAGAATTCTCTCGACCAAAAGGAAAAGAACGCGCAACGCGAGTCCAATCCACTCGGCCGTCCCAGACCCCCAGTGGGGCAATTGTTTTAAGTGTCTTGTTTTTGTTTTTGTTTTTCTTGAGTGGACTTCGGAACATACACCATCATGCGAACTCATTTGCTCTTTGAGGCTGGGTCCCCCCTTTTTTGGCTGGTTTGAAAGGGAAACGTTGTGCCTTCTTTCTGTTTTTCTTGGCTTTAAAGAGTGCCCTGGACTTTTTCCGTGGGGCTGGGTCATAGACTGATTCAGCGAGGGTTATCAACATGGGAGACAAGTTCTTTTCCGGCACGACAGATTTCAGTTGTCACATGGTGTTTGTTTCGGGGATCTAGTTGGCTGCAAAAAACCGTTTGCCGTTTGCTGCCAAAGGTTTGGGACGTTCAGACTGCATCCTGACTCGTCGGTGATCCATCCCTTGGCTTCTCTGCTCGCAGAGGCTTTCGGAGGTCAACAAACCCCGGGAAAAGCGGTGATCGAACGTTTGCTGTTTGGGTTGTTTTTGCTGTTCGATGTGTGTGACAATGTTGGATTCGGCTGGCGCTCAAAGGTTCTGAGAGGTTGCTAAAGGTTGGCATTTGAAAAATGTGGTTGTTGAAAGATGTGCTTGAAGGGTATTTTGCGGCATTTGTTGGCGTCATTGCCGCCATCGTCTTTGTGCCTGCTCAGCAAGCTGCGTGGTCAAAAGTGGTTGCTGGCCGGGTGTTAAAATTGGGCTGGTAGAAGATGGTTTGTTGTTCAACAGGCGTTCGGGCAGTTTGTTGGCTATTAAACGTGTTGGCACGATTTCGTCAAAAGGATTATGCTACAACAATTTGGAGCTATGCATCAATATAGGTTGTTGCCAAACATCCCCATGGAAAGCAGAACAGCGATTGAACAGCAAGTACATAACACACATGCAGCAGAAGACACCTGGGTTTCCTTCGTGTTCCATCGGCTTCCACAAGTTGCATTTTGTGGGACGAAATCCACTTCGCATCAGTTAAGTGGCTGATCCCCCCAATCAGTATCGTAAGGCGTCAGGCCTCAGACTTTGGCCTGCCTTGAACGGAGTTGGTGCATTTTGCTTGGATGTTAGGACTTTAACTTTTTGCCAACTAGTGGGTTTTTTATTAAAGCACTAAAAGTTAAACTTTTAGCAGGGGAGCAGAAAGCAACCGAGTTGGGTCTGCAACGCCACCCCTTCATTTGGCAGTCTTCCCATGCAAGTTGCTTCAGGACCGGTCATTGGCCATCGAAAAGGCGGGGGCACTTTTTTGGAAGGACTCGGACACCAAAAATGGGCGCTTGCCCTTTTTTGGTTGACACCAAAAAAGGGTACCTTCAAGAAAGCACAGCCCCCTCAACTCCAAAAACAAAACGCGAGAAGGCCGAAAAATTCAATTTCTGCCCATGTTTATGGCGAACTCACTGATTCAGGGGTACAACAAGCTCCCCTGAGTAAGGGTCTTTTCGTGATCTCCGTATTCAGGTGTTGGAAGTATTCCGAAGTTGCTGAAGGTTGCAGGACTGAGGGGCCGTGCATGGCCGTGCGATCTTCTTGTGTTTGCTTTGGTATGTTTTAGTGTACATCTGCAGTATATATGGGGGTGCAGGGTTCCCTGAAAAACGGACCTTTGCCTGAGGAGTTCAAGTTTCCTGACCAATAAAACATCTCCCGGAACCCTCATTTCCCTTAACGCATCCCGGGAACTGCGTGCCAAGTTCCCGAAGCGCCTTGCTCACCGAGCGACGGCTGGCCAATCCTACGAAAAGAGCCAAATCCTTCGCCACCCAAATTGAACAGCCCAGAGTGGACTTGAAAATAGAGGTTCTGCCTGAAAAACGCTTCCTCGCTTTAGAGCTATAGGTAAGCAAGGGAAACCACTAGGGAATAGCCCTCACCTAGGAGTGCTACAGTGGCCGTGGAATCTACTTGGATGACTACCCTAGCTAGCAGGTGGGCAACATCTCTGCCCGAAGTGGGACTTGTGGGATTTACCCTGCATTGCAGGGTGCTTTCCTTTCTGCAGGAAAAAGCGATGCCAGCGGCTTGGAATCTACCATAGGGGCAAACAAGTTTGGACTTGGTTTGGCCACTCCCAGGTGATGTTTTGGGTCTGGGATCGGCAACGAAATTCGGCCTTCGCCCTGAGGCCAACCGCGAGAAGCAACGAGAGCTTGAGCGCCGGAAGCAGGAACGAGCCTTGGCCAAGGCGGGGCTTTGAATCAGCCACGTCCTCAAAGCTTGGGTAGAAGGTTAGGGGCAAGCCGAACATGAAAAGGTGTGGATCCTCCGCCTTTTAAATTGTTTTCTTTGGCTTGGGTACACCATACTGGTCTTTTTTGGGGTATGCCTTCAGCCATAAGGAAACATAAAAAACCACAGACGGAAAGTAAGTGGCCCAAAGCGAAGCGGCCGAGTGAACCTTTGGGGTGTCCATCATTTTGGCAGGCATTTTTAGGCAGGCCAAAATTACGAGTGGCCCGAATTGATTTGCACAGATGGACCTTCAGTGGGCGCCTTGTTCGTTGGCTTGAGTCAAGAGTTGGACGCAACGGCGAGAGCGAGAAAGGGAGACCCGACCTATTTCAGATGCTTCCATGTGGTTAAGAACATGTTTTATTGGAGGGGTATGTATTTTAGTTTGTTTTTCTTTTTTTCTCCGCTTTTGGCTTCTTGCTTCTTGGCTTCTCGGCTTCTGGACGTTTCGGCTTTTGGTTTGTTTGTGCGGCTTTTGGTGGCTTTTTCGCTTTGGCTTTTCGCATCCTCTGCATTCCCAGTCCCTCTTCGGCAGGTGGCGTTGTAGCTTTTGTGGCTTTTCACTGGTTTATGCGGCTTTTGCAAGCTTTGGCTTTTCGCATCCTCTGCTTTCCCAGTTCCTCTCCGGGCTTTTTGGCTTTTGCACCCTTTGTTTGGTTTTTGGAATTTGGCTTCCCGCATCAGCATCACCAATTCCTCCCTATTTGAATCATCACTTCTTCGAACCCGCTACTGCTTAGATTGTTTGCAGAGGAATTGCCTATTTGAATCGACACTTCTTCAAACATCATTGGGGGGCTGCCGCCTCTACCCCGCTACTTTTTGGATTTCTTGCAGAGATTGAATTGCACCCCTATTTGAATCATCACTTTTTCGAGCGTCCAATTTCGCGAGAAAATGCTGCAAAATACGACATTTTAGGTAATCCATGTATGTCTGTATGTATGCAGTTCTTCGAACATCATAGGGGAAGCCACCCCCGCCAACCCTCCCGCTGCCTTTTAAGTTCTATCGCACCCTTTCTTGAATCATTGCACCCCTACTTGAATCATCACTTCTTCCGACATCATGGGGGGGGCTGCCGCCCCCCCCAACCCCCCCGCTACGTTTTAGATTTTCTACAGAGATTTAGTTGCACCCCTAGTTGAATCATGTATTCTTCGAACATCAGGGGGGGGCTTCCGCCCCCCAACCCCCCCGCTAGTTTTTAGACTTGCTGCAGAGATTTAATTGCACCTGTTCGAATCATCACTTCTGCGAACATCATGGGGGGGGCTGCCGCCCCCCCCCCAACCCCCCGCTACTTTCTTTTTCTTTCTTACAGGGATTGAAATGCCCTCCTTGCTAGGGATGTTGGTCGGACATGCGGGGGACGTTGAAAACGATGCTGGGGATGCTGCCTGGCTAGTGTAAAAAGCGTCAATTTCGCGAGAACATGCTGTAAAACACAACATGTTTCTGGCCCGGACGAAAACCCCCCCCCAAAAAAAAAGAAAAGAACTGAAAACAAACATCCGAACCTTTTTTTCCCCCTGTTGGTTAAAAAGGGAATCTATCACTACTGGAAGCATGTTTTACTTTTTCCAGGGGACTTAAGCAAATGGAGGGATTTTGCGCCAAAGCGTCGCAGCTGAAAGACCTGGGCCACTTGGGGCTAGGTGACCCACGTGGAAAGCTGCGCGGTCACTGGGGTGAACCCCAAGGCGGTGCCTAAGCCAAAGGTCGCGGCCCGAGCCTCGGTTTGCCCTAGCTCCAAGCCCCCAAACCCCCCCATAGACCCTGGCTTCTGGGACTGGAAGTGTTGCCTCACATGAAGGATATGACTTTGAGAATTGAAAATTTATCAAGCCAATCATACCCCCCCCGGGCTTAAAAAGCGAAGGGCATACTGGTCCCCAGACCCCTCCGCTGAACCTCTGCCTTGAAGTCCGCGGTTCCACTCGGCTTCACAAGGCAGTGGCTGCTGCCAAGCAAGAGCCGAAGCCCAAAGCCAAGCCCAAGGCCTTGCTCACGTCCGCGTTCGCGTGTTGCTTCGCCGGACCAAACTCGCCGTTGTCCAGGAGTCTCTCCATTTGTTATATGTTGTTTTTCTCGGGGGGAACCTCCATAAGTGGCAAACGGTTGAATGGAAACCATGCCAAGCCAGCAAATTTGGAAGCACGCCAAACAAACTGAATAGCAGCTAACCGGCACACAGACAAGCTTAGACACGCTGGGGCTTGGCAAGAACGATGAAGCAATCTACCTACACAAAGTTCAAGCTTGTCAACCAAACAGGTAAGACAGCACCAAATCACGAAGCCAAACACAATGAGTGCTCAACATAGGGGCCTGGAAGTTTGAAGAAATCATCCCTTTTGGACATCTCAAAACATGTGCTATGTTGCACCCAGTAAGTAGGGGAAATGCTGTGGAGTTAGTTTTAAATGTTAATCACAATTTGCTGAGATCAGTGCAGCTGGTAGCACTGGGTAGGATGCTATAGTCCTATAGTAAAGCACATTCCTTCCAGGGAATCGGGTTGATGTATTGCCGCTCAGCCATTTCAAAAGGGTACATGTCGTAACCATCCGCAACCTCCGCTTTTCTTGGGTGTGTGAGGTGGGAACCCAATTGACGCATCAACCCACTGGGTTTGACTTTGGGCTGCTAATCAAAGGGGTCGATAGGGGAAGCTTGAGGTCCACGTTTGTTTTCCTGCTGGCGGCCGTGTGCCCGGGAAGAAAAGATTCCGAGCTCACTTGGCCAAACGAGCTCACCCAGGTGTTTTTGCATACCCAGTTTGAGCAGATTGTTTATGCCAGCGAGCGTGTTTGTGCGGAAAAGCCAGCGTTTGTGAAGACCAGCCGGCAAACCTAGTTTCCCAGCTGGAGACTTGCCTTGCAGCTGGCAAACTAAGTTTGTGGGTTGCCGCTTTTTCAATATGAAGTCGCCTTTGTCGATGTTTGTTCTGCACGGAAGTTACCTCTATGCCTGTTTTACGGACGAGGGGGACGCGAGACGCAGCGTCGGCCCATTGTGCGTTTACCTGTTGGCTTAGCAAACTGGTGCTTCATTGGAGTAAAGGCCCAAGAAGTTGAGTCACTTTGATCGGCGTTGTCAACTCCGCGGGCCAGTGTGCGATTGCAGGGCATGATTTGACGGGACAAGTTGGTCCGCATTGGGATCGCACGTTGACTTCGCGTGGAGGTTTCCAACATTTAGGGACCTGGTCACTTCAAAGTGAGAAAGCCATGACGGCCCTCCTCCCAAGTGTCATTTGCCGTCCATACATGAACAAGTTAGTTTTGGCCGCAACGTGTTCTAAAGGACCCGCATGTAGATAGGTTCAAAGGGAAAAATTATGAAGCCCACTTGTTGGGCCCGATTCCTTGCTCGCAGCCCGGAAACCAACCGCCACCAAGGCACAAGGAAACGAAAGAGGGAAACAAAAATAATTGGTATAGACAACAGGGCCAAGCCAAGAAAATGCGTATGGCAACAGAGCAGGCCAACCAACAAAAGGGAGAGACCAACCAACAACACAAATGCTAAGAGTAGGACAGAGCCATAGAAACATAGAAAGAACACATGAACACGAACGAGAACGAACAAAATAAGCAAATTCTGGTAGACTTTGCGGCGAAAGGAGGGGTGTTGTTTTCGCAAGCGGCTTTGAGCACGGTCAAGGATTGAGCCCATCCAAAGCCTTCAAGTTGGGCACCACAGGTTCAAGGTCGTCTAAACGGGCTCCTGCAGGCGGGATGAAATCGGGGTTGCCATGCAACCATTCACCAAACAAAGCCAAACCAAACTAAGCCAAGCCAAAATATAAACTAAACCAAAGCAACAACCAACGCAACAACCAACCCAACCCCACACTCTTGGCGACTTGTTTTTTTTTCTTGTTTTTTTTTGTTCCCCCCGTTTTTCCCCTCTACTCCGAGCCTCGCTCGGGTCGCCAAAGCCTCGCGTCGAATCCGCCCTCGCGGGTCTCGCAATGTCTCGCGATGTCTCGCGACCTCGAGTCCTCGGAGTCGAGGCCAAGCCGGTGATGAAGAAGGGCCCCGGCCTCGAGGTCCTGGCGGGCGCCAACCGCTTCGGGGGCCCGGAGCTCAGCCCAGCTGCGCTCAGCGCTCAGCGCTTCGCTTCGCGCCCGAAGGGCTGGGGTGTTCTGGACGCGCAACGACCATCCGGTTCCTGAGGGTTGTTGTTGTTTGATATCTTTTTTCTTTTTTCCTTTTTTCGCTGGTTCTTAGGGTGGTTCCTTAGGTTTTGTTCTTCTTTCTTTTTTTCGGGCGTTTGGTGGTTTTAGTGGTTTCCATCCGCTTGTTTTCTAGGCTGATTGCAGGCTGTTAGCCGTGAAGTTCAGGGAACCCCCCCACTAAACCACTGAAAGCTGAAGAAACTTTGAGGGGATCGAAGGGTTCTTTGGGCTGCTCTTTTGGGGCTCGAGATCGCTTCGAACTGGCCAGCTCGATTCGCGCGGGGCTTCTGCTCAAAACGTGTCACAGGTTTCGACGACTCCGACGAAGGCGAGGTGCGCGGGTTTGTTCAAATCCCTCGTACGCAGGAAGCCCTCGAAAGCCCAACCTTTCGTGGGGGGTGTTCACTTCAAAAATCACGAAAAGATGAGGTGTCAGTTTTCCCGGCTGGGGGTGAATCGTGAATCTCCTGTGGAAAGCTGTTTTGAGGTTGCCTGGAACCTAAGTAGGCGAAACTTAGACAACCAATGTTCCCGCCAACAAGCCCAACCAACTTGGCGTGAGCCCACAACCATGCACTGATGAACAAATGTCACGAGCCCAAAATGGGTGCAGACTAACATGAAACATCCTCCTTGCCCAAAAGACACTTGTTCTTCCTTCAATGGTTTTCAACATTTGCTGGATGTGCTTCGGGACTCGTTCATGTTTCGCTGCTGCAACATGCACATTTTGGGAGCACCCTAGACCTCCAAAGCTTTCTGCTCTGGGAGGAGGGGTT